AAGGCGATGAGTCGACTGAACACAAGCTAGATAATTACTCCTTCAAAGATGTAATGAGCCACAAGTATGTAGAGTAAGCAGTCACAGAGAATGTCAGGCCTGCAAACAAATACCTGAGACAAATGACAAGAACAGACAAAACACAAAGGAAAGGGAGAGAAATGTCATTAGACTTTAATGATAAACCTTAGTTCATTCAAAGGTGCTAGCAGCCATGTGTTGCTAAATGAAATGTGTATAAACCCAGCTTGTTTAAAAAAAAAACAACAAAAAAAAAACTGCATCAGTACGTATGCTGTCCTTGAATAGCGTCCGAACCTATTAGCTTATCAACACCTTGTTGAAGTATTTTTGGTTTACACATTTTACAGATTTTTCTTATAGTTACGCACTTGTACCACCCCTTGATTTAATGGCGCCCTGAGCAGTGAGACATATTAAACATATCTGATGGCACAGCTGAGAAAGCCTAGACTTTTCACTCAGAGCAGAGATACTTATCACTATAGCATATTGGATCAAAGCTAAAGGACTAACAAAACCATCAGAGCCACGAACAGCCGACATCTTAAGGTAACTGCAAATATTTTAAGGGTGCTTAGCAGTAAAGGTGTTTGAAAGGCATTTATGCAAAGCAGAATAATCTCAGGACTTCCTGTCCTTCATCTTTATTCCCATTATATGTCAAAGTGACACTTTTCAATAAGGATTTATCTAGCATGTGGCCTTGACTGTGGGTAAGAGAGTCTTAATCAAAGACAAAAAGAAAAAAGAAAAACAAAACAGAGATATATATGCTGCAAGCAGATCTGCATTTTAGGAGCAAGGCCGACTCTGATCTCATCAGTCCCAATAGGGAGTCTTTTTCCCTAAACTCAACTGTTTATCCAGCAGGGAAAAAGTGCACATCAGACTCCTATATGCTTCCCCTCTTGTCTGCAATAACATCAAACTCATACTGGATTTTGCAGAAGGTAGAGCGACTGTAAAAGCTACCGGTAATCAGAAAGAAAATCATAAAAATGAGTCACCTGAGGATTTAAACTGCAAATACAAGCACTTAGACAATTGGTGTGCTCTTTATGTCCAGTTATATAGCAGTTTCAACAAAATCTAATTTGCAACAAGGTGACAGGAAACAAGTTAATCTTTCTTGTCACTTGCTAAAAAAATCTTCTTTCCCTGAAGCTTTTAACCATTTTGTTATAGACTGTTAATTTGAAATTGATTTATGTATGTGATAAACCAACACAAAGTAACATATCATTTTTTACAATGGCTTTAAAAATATCTTAACTGTAAAAGATTCAAATATCTCATCTGCATGCATCCAGATTAGGAAAACTCCTTTCCCTGTGGTTATAGGTGCAGTACTGCAATCTAATGTTTTGCCTGTATTATATAGTGTTTAAAAAGGGGGCACATTTCTGACACTTCTGGAAACACAGCAATATATCTTATTATGGTAATAGAAAAAACTGAACATATGATACTGTGACAGCTTGTATAACAGCAAACATTTGCTGTCTTCTAAAAAAAAACTTCACATAAGGCCATTAATATCTAAACTACTATCAACAAAAGTGACTACAAACCTTAATGAATATGTTGAAAAATGTCAATCATTTATGTGGCCACACTTATTTCTCTGCATGTAAACATGAGCATTAAGTTTGGTAGAAAAAGAAGTATTTAGTTTGAGACTAAATTAATTTAGTGAAAAAAAATGTATTATTGCTCTTTTAAAATCATTTCTATAAAGTTTATAATGTTAACATAATGAATCAAACCCTAAAAAACATCATTTTCAAGTTTTTATTTTGTTGGTTAGATAATTCTGTTTCATAATCCAACAATAACACTCTGTGTTCCTGCAATATGTTAAACAGCTGACAGGGGGCTCCACTTTCAGCGTCTGTGCACATATACAGTAGAAGTTATTTCCTTACAATACAAGCAGGATGTTTTATCTGCCTGCATATCAGTCTCTATAGTGATGTTGATTATATTCTTTTAAAAAAATAAACAGACCCCAGTTTGAATCCTCAGCAGCGAAGTGTCCCACTGAATGACTTTACAGTATTGGCTGTTTTCTTAGTGCAGTTGCTGGAATGTGTGAGAGTTTTGTATGTCTGCCAGGACAGAGAAATCTAGAACTCGGGGGCAATGAGTGTATTTGGCTGAGTCTGCTTGCTTGAAAATACAGCAAGGATTACCACTGGAGACAGGTATGTATGAACTAGCAAAACAATATAAATGTTTTTGCTATTTTTCAAGCTGCTTGTGGTTCTGTCAATGCAAATATACAGCATGGTTATTCAGTTTTCTCTGTCTTTATAAAGTATTTAATGTGATTTTGAAAAATGTACGTCTACTGGTGGCTTTAGATCCCTTTAAGTGGATGGATGGATGGATGGATGGATGGATGGATGGATGGATGGATGGATGGATGGATGGATGGATGGATGGATGGATGGATGAGTGGGTGGGTAGGTGGATAGATGGGTTGATCGTGGATGGATGAGTTGGTGGATGGATGAATGGGTGGGTAGGTGGATGGATGGAATAGTTGATAGATGGNGATGGATGGATGGATGGATGGATGGATGGATGGATGGATGGATGGATGGATGGATGGATGGATGGATGGATGGATGGATGGATGGATAGGTGAATAGGTATAGATAGATTATCATCTCAAATATTCTTAATTCAGTTGTGTAATCTTCTTTGTATGTCTTCATATAAAATGTGTAACAATTTACCACAGTAGCTTTAAAGTTTTGATTTCAGGCAATGAAACCTAAGAGTTTCACATTTGTCATGTCACTGTGCTACAGTGAACTCCTTCACTGCTGTTTATACAGTAGTTTAATAATTATGCGACTGTTCAAGGACACGTAAATTACCAATTTGTTAGCATTCAATAAGGATTGTTGTTGCTGTTTTAAAACGTGTCAGGGGACAAATCTGCATAGTATTACCAATTTTAAAGGAATACATTTTTCAGTGTTTTTCATGTGGAATATCAATGCTATTCTAAACTTGACACCACTAAACAAACACAAACTATGCTGATGTTAAACCAGAGTATTTAAAAAGAAAACAATTATAGGTAATAACTTGTATTTCCTTCAACTTTTTGTCTGTAACATAAACAGACTTTCCAACAGAAGCTGGTCTAGCTTCTGTTGCTCCTGAGTGACCATTGAACAGTTTGACACAGGTCATAGCATATTGCTCTTGTTATTCGTGGTTTACAGACAGGGAGCATGTCGACATGAAAGGTAAACTGGTGCAATCGGCAATTGGCCTTGGTCATGTTTGCAGAAGAGTTCACAGTCCTGTTTGCGTGACTGTTCATCACAGTTTTTTTTTTACTGTGGGGCATGACTTACAGTTAAGGAAACGGATATTGTCCAATATGGTCCAGATATGGTCTTTCTGAAAAATGGAAGATAAGCAGTGGAAAGGAATGGATGGATAGATGGCTACCATCAGGCAATTAAAAATATCTTCATCCTTTTATATTTTTCCATAGTGTCACATAAGGAGGCGGTTTATTTAAGCTCATGCCTTGAAAAGAATCCACGTGTGTTTAGGATCAATCATATGTTGTAAATGAATCTATTGAAAGCTTATCAATTGATTGGCATCATAATTTGTCCTTGGACCAATTTCTTCACATCAAAAAGATATATTAGTTTAAGTTTAAATTTCTAAATTTAATAATGTAATGAAAGGAATTTTAAATCTTCATATATTTATTGAATTTAGTTAATACAAATATGCAATATATTTTTTCTATAAAAGATTGGCATACTGCTTTAAACTGTTGACTTTTCACATGTTGCAAGAAGTTGATCATAAAATGTAACCAGTGGTGGAAAGTAACAACGTGCATTTATTTGATTACTATAACTAAGTATTTTTTTTAGTGTGTTTACTTGAGTAATTATTTTTTGTGGGGGGACTTATCTTTCATTCGACTATGTTTGAGTCATGTATTGCACTTTCTACTCGACTACACTTCAAGGAAGCAGCTAGTTACTTTTTCCTTTAGGCTCAGCTTATCTTTGTAATCCACTGTTACTGTTTTTCTGTATTGAAATGTAAGACACCAGCCTTTAGGACTGAATTTGGACAACACTGTTTTAGGGATTTGCATGACATTCCACAAATGTGAGAAACTCAGGGCAGATATTATTTGTCGTTTATACATTTTATCAAGCCGTTAGTTTTTGCCATGTGGCCAAGTTGTTGGATAAGTTCTCAATTCAGAGTTGTGATTTCTTTGTGGTCATATATTCAACCTCAAACCTCAATTCAACAGTGAAAGTGTGCCGGGAATCAAGACGCTCCTGTTTTCTTTTTGGTTTAATAATCAAAATAGCTCTCCTTAGTTTTCTGTGGCAGTTTTATGCTAAAGTCCTTTATAAGTGATTTAGAATTTGTAGCACAGTGGTTCTACACAGCAATACAAAATTAAAGTTTTTGAATACTTAATAACTTTTAAATGCATTTAGTTTTTAATATTCAACTATTTTTAAAAGTGAGTCCTTCATACTTGAGTAGATTATTGAACCAGTAACTTTTACTAGGGCAACTTTGTCCGCCACTGCCATTAACAGAGATAAAAGCTTGAAGACATCAGCCATTTTTGTATGATTGATAAAATTTAGTTTCTGTTTGTTCATAATAATTTCCAATGCAGACTTTTGTCAAAAAAAAAGTCTGTATCTGCAAAAGCATGATTTTAACTTTTGAAATACATATTTTTTCAATAACGCTATTTCTAATTTTGATTCCAATTTTGCGTGGAAATTTTCCTTAATGAGTTTAATTTAATTTCTGTTATTTTTTGTGTGCTTGTAAAGCTGATCTCTGTGTGTCAGCTATGTAAATACGCAGCAGGCATTACGGTAAAGAGAGAGAGAGGGAGAGAGAGAGAGGAAAATCGGGGGCGGGCCTGCGATCCATGTGCGTCGCTTTTGATTGACATGGCGGAGTTTCACAGTAAGACCAGCGCCGCGCCAGCAGACAGGCAGGACCCGACCCTGGGAATAAAAAAACGCGCAGCAACGTCTGTTTGAAGATTCTTTTATTACCGCAAGGTGAGTCTTTTTACACTTTTTACAAACTACAATTCTTGGAGTTGACACAGCAGAGAGGTAGATAAAAGTGCGGCCAGCGACAAGGACAAAAATGGTAATAATAATAAAAAAGTTTCCGAAGTGCGCCTCTGTGTGTGAGTTGGAGGATCCGTGCGCTGACGCCGGCAGTCTGGGCCACTTGGTCAGTGCAGATCAAGAAGGAAAGCTGTGGAGAAGCTCCGGGAGGGAGCAAATCAAAACTTTTTTGGGACAGATTTTTGTTTCCAGTTACTTTAAAAGAAAAGGCGAGAGAGGAAGAAGCAGGAGAGCGGGGACCGTGAGACTGAATATGTGCGTCTGGAGCTTTACTTGCTCCCGATTTGTCTTCTTTCGCGAAAGAATGTGTTTTTGTCTCCGTAGACTCCAGATGGATTGAGTGCGCAACAGGACAGAAAAACTTACTCGACGCGCGTTTCTAACAGATCGCAGTTGTTGCGCGTCTTTTTCTTTTGCATTCAGGAAAACTAAAAAAAAATAAAAGTTGTTGCATATTCAAGCAACTTTAATTTTTGCCCCTAGTTAAAAACACAACTGAAAAGAAGATGCTGAGGCAGTCATATTTGACAAGAGAGGTTTGGTTGCGAAACCATTGAAGTGACGCTTTAATAGGGTATATGGCTTTGGATAACTGGCGAGAAGCTAAAAAAAAAAAAGGGGGGGGGGGGGGTAGAGCTTTACCGACTTTCCGTAAAGTTTCAGCGCGGTTGCAAAATGCAGTTTAAAAAAAAAGGCTTTGGGGAGGAAAAAAATCCCAACTCCAGCATATCCTAGCATTCCTTCCAGTCAGTCTGTCTGACTCCCTCTCCGTCTCCCCCTCTCCCAGAAACGACTACGTGTCTGTTTGTGCAGGGAAAACAAATCCTCCTCTCAGCCTCTCTGATGCAGACGTGGAAATCAAACATTGGCCTCCTGCTCAAAACGATCGATTATGTTGACTTCACGTACCTCCAGAGAGGACACGCTTTAAAAGTTACCTCATCACTCTGCTGCTGCTGCTGGTGAAGGTCTGGATGGGAATTAAAGGATAGAGGTCTTCAGTTCTTGTTAGTCGGCCTGTTTGCTGCTTAATAACAGGTGTGAGAGGTTTCATTGTCGGGCTGTCATCATTATCCATTGAGGGTGGGTGGGTGTATGAAGGAGGGCATCCCCTGGATCCAGTGGGTATGTTGGAGAAAACAGCTTCTGGAACACTGAAGCAAGGTTAATCTTACTATACTGGGTTTTTAATAAAACCAATCAGTCTCACTTTAGATAAATTTTGCCACCTTTACAGCAATGCATTGTTGAATTTGTGTATTCCACCTCCCAATTAGGGTTTGATGCATACATTTATATTGTTCATATCCTATGTTTTCATGGTTTTAGATTATTTTCCCCTAATTAAAGGGTCAGTAAATTAAACTTTTTTTATTTAATACATGTCCATTTTTTGTTGTTTCCTTTTTTTCGCCCCTATGCTGATATATATTTTAAAATGATTTTCTGTATAAGTCATATTTCTGGGCTGATCTACAATATGCCAGAGGGGCTACATATCCTGGGTATATGCCATAGCATCCTCCAGAAGAAGCTGCAGAAGTTTTCCTCCTGGAATTTTTATGTGCCATCAACCACATGCCCCTTATTTCCAACCAGGTGGATGTTTCATACCCACTTTGACAACCAACAACCTAAACGAACGTTCCATTATGGTCACCTTGTCTCTCTAGTATTTTGTTTTTGTATGGTTCTGTCTGCAGTGGGGTCTCTTGTTTTGTACCCAGCCCTTTGTGCCTTCTACAGTGGGACGCACAATTTCATACCCTGCAAAGTAATTTTCTTTAATGGCTTTATCGACCCTTTCCTAATTTGTACCACTGCTGTTTTTGATGTTTTTTATAAGTCTGCCGAGGGGCCTTTGGTAATCTTTTTTTCTGACTATACTTAAAATCAATAAAAGCTTTAATAATGAACTTATCAGAGGGAATGTAAATACATGACATAAGGATCTAAAAACCATTTCCACCATAAAATGATAGCATTGATGTGATGTCATTGACTCAAATATACACAAACCTTAAATGGCATTTCCTTTAGTGCCATTTTTAAAATATTAATTATTTTGGTAATTCCTGCAAAACTATTTCATAACCAGGCTGTTTTTCTGTTTAATTTTATTTTTGTATATTTAGTAGCACCTTTTACACACTCCTTACTTCCTTTTTAATGGAGGTTGGGGTGAAGGGGGACTCGGAGTAATCCGATCCCGAATGTATGACGTCAGATGACATTCCTTTGGTAGAAGGCTGATGTGGCCATGATGTTTTGACACCCCCTTCTTTTCCTTTGCTTTGAAAAATCTGATGTAGAGTTTTTCGCAGGATTGTTGGGTTGGAGGTTTAGAGATGAATGAGGCTGGCCTCCAGCTGAAAAGGTGTGTTTAGGTTTAGAGTGGAGAGGAATTCTTCCCGTAGAGCATGAATGAACAATTTATTTTGCTTCCAGAAGTCAGGAGCCTCAACAAGGTTCAGAAGAGTTCAGGCTTTATTGTGGGTTTACTTTGTAGATAGTAAAGCCATTCTTTTTTTCCTCACTTGTTCCTAAAAGCCGTCTTTTTATTTAGCTCAGTATCTAACTCAGGTTTCAGCAGGTAATAAAGGATTACACTCGGGATTTGGGGAGGCCTCCGTGGTCTCCAGCCCTGAATTCAGCCATTCTTGGTTTTTAGATTCCTTATCAAAGTCTACAGCCTTCGTCTGACAGAAATATCCACTTCATTGATAAAACTGTGAAAAATAAGCCTTTCTGTCATTGAGCAGTTAACCAATTTAATTCATATATTTATATATTTTTTCTCAATAATCAAATGCTTTCCTTGTCCTACTTTAGACATGCTTTGTAAGGGTTGGATTCCTAATTCTTAATTTGTGCTTTTCTGGTTTTAATGAACATTGGTGTTTAAAACGGTTTGGAAAGCTGTACAGCTAAATTACCTTAGCATCTTTTAGCTCTTTGGTAAGCCTGTGATCCCAAAACCCAGCTCCTACTTTTTTTAACAATAGCTTTTCTGTTTTCCCCTTCATATCCAAAACCAAAAAGAACTATGTTCCAGCTAGATTTATATAAATAGCGAGCTTTGTTCCTTTATTATCAGTTGGGTCGAATAAACCTTCCATAAGTTTAAAAGTTCTGTAACTGTTACAGCTTATCATACAGGTGTGAATTATGCCTTGGTGATGTATTTATGTTGCTTTTTCCACTTAAAATTTTGTTTCCACTTTCAGTCATTATGGGTTTAAATTAGGGGAAAGTTTATAAGCTGTAGAGCCAAAGAGAAATTTATGCTGAAGTCCTTTACAAGTGATTTCTTTTTTTTGGAGGTGGGGGGTGGGTTCTTCACCTTTAATGAATAATTTATCTTAAACCTCTGTTTCTCCCTCTGTCGTACAGACTTGTGGTTTTCACCTCAGAGACACTCTGTAGCTCTGCTGTCTTCCTGCACCAGCTTGTGGTTTTCCTTCTAGCCCAATAAAATCTCTGGTACGCCTGGTCTAAATGAGGTCAGGAAAGGGGCAGGATGATACTTGTCATTGTATGTATATGCTTGTGTCTCTGAGTGGTAGCCTAGAACATGTTATCCAATGGGTAGAGTTACTGAGCAGTGCTTGTGTATCAGGGACAGAGACTGGAGGTGTGGTAGAGTTACTCACTGAACACAATGCCACCCTGGAAACAGTGTGTGAGCATGTAAAAGAGGTAAATGAGAGTCCTAATAAAAAATGTTTGCTGTTTGGGATCTTGTTACGCAGATTTTCCAAGATTTAGAGCTATTGTTATGTTTCCTAGGGCGTTTTCTAATAGAACAATAATAAGTATGATACGCGCAGTTAACAGGTCCTTCCCTAAAAGTTCAACCTAAACTTACAGCTAGGAGATTTCCAAGTGTTGCTAACATGTCCTAATCTAGCATTCTCTATGATACTGGAGTTACCTTCAGCCTTCCTGTTATCTGCTGATGAGGTCTGGCTCTCTGCTGCAGCATCCTTAACAGATGGCAGACAATTCTCTCAGTTTAGTTACATACGGTTTCCATTTAAAAGGCTTCACACAACCTTTGTGTTTCTGTTTCCGTACTCTCCGTCTTCATTTCAAAGCACTACACAGATACCCAATATGGCTAACCTTGATTCTTTTTGCTTCAGTAACATCAACAGCTTGGAGGATAATGTGGTAACTGCAATATGTCTGCTACTATACATGATGCATTTACTGAAATAAATATAGAAAAAATTGTGTGATTTCTGTCCTCCACCTCTAAAAGATGCCTATTGATAACTAACGTATCTTTAAAATGTTGGTGAGATTCAACACTATGAATAAAAAAAAAAGTTACTGGAAGCACAAGATCTTTAATATTGCAAGATAAATACAAAATTAATTTCCATTGTGTCTTTAAAAATGTAAAACATTGTATGTCTCCATTCTTAAGAACTTTCTTATTTCAGTTTATTTTCATTTTTTGTCAATAAACTATTGTGTTTTACCTACAATCTTGGTATTGTAGCTACATTTTGAATATTTCTTTCCTATTAAATACTTTTAAACTCATAAGTTTTAAGAATTTTTTTTTTGTAACACTTTGTTTGAATAAGTCATAATACCATTAAGTTTTTATAAGACCATTTACTAAGATAAATGTATGGGTTATCTCTCCTTGAACAGTCCAGCATTTTCAATCACACATTCTGTAGCACACTGCTGGTCAGCTGACTGAAAAAGGCCATAAGCGAAATAATAATTTGCCTGTTTAGAAAATGTCTGACTGAGGAAAACAAAAGCAAAGCACAGACAGGCGTGGTTTTGACCAGCCAAATTTGATTTTTTAATCAGTGTATCACCAGGTAAAGGAAAATGTTCAGTCTTACTTTGAAAATTAGTTTTCATATGAATCAAAAAATTAGAAGTTACCCTTCCAAAAATAG